CGTATTCGTATATACATACATACATACATACATACACACATACATACATACATACAGACATACATACATACATACATACATACATACATACATACATACATACATACATGCACACACAAAGACAAACCCGCACTACATTAATTACACATATCTATCATTATGTATATATATATATGTATATTTAGGTACGTGCGGCCTAATGTATATTCTTGACTTATGAATGTTCTGCTACTACTGATAGGCTTAGTGTTGTACATCTAGGAGACCAACACTTAGGTCCTTGGCCTTTGACCTTGCACATCAGCTGGCATTGCTTGGTGATTAGAACGGTCCAGACCCTCGAAATTCGAAGCTAGCTAGCTACAGCAGCTGCTGGCCATGGCAGCAAATCCTGCCGTTCAGAAGGCCACTTAACAAGCTAGGCTACGTCACAAGATCCCGCCACGATGCAATTATGAAGCTCCAGGCTGCTGCCAAAGCCAACATGAGTGCCGCGGACTACATCGAGATGGAGGTGAAGAAGGCCCTGCAGGCAGCAGGAGTGGACCCGAGCACAGGCGAGGGGTCAGCTAAATATAATATAAATGGGTTGCCCAGGAAGAGCCTGTTTAGGGTTTACGGCTTAGGGGCTTGGGTCTAGGGGTTCTTGGTTAGGGGTTAGGGTCTAGGGGTTAGGGTTTAGGGGTAAGGGGTGAGGGTTTAGGGTTTAGGGTATTTAGGGGTTTGGGTTTAGAGTTTTGGGGGAGATTTGAGAAGTCGTGCAGGGTCCCGGTTTTACTTGGTTCTATCTAAGAATTTGGGCAAGTGCTCGTCCCCTGCAGGGTCTGGAACTGGGGGCACTGGCGATTCCGGAGGAGTTACCTCAGACCCCCGCCTTCGTATATCTAAGAAGACACAGCCGGGTGCACCGCCTCCAAAGAAGCCAACAGTAGCACCTCCTCCCGCCGGGGCTGGTTTGAAGTCACCGAAGAAGGAAAGCGCGGTACCCAAAGCCCAGAAAAGCTGCTCATCGTCTACTACAGTATAGGTCTTGGGTTTCCCTATATGTGTTGTAAGTGTTGGGTTCCCCAGCGAGTTGCAGTCAACGATGTTTGTATTTCCAGCTCAGGTTCCTCGCTGCAGGTGAAGCCGGAGCCGTGGCCCATGCCGGTAGCAAAGACAGCAGCACAGCCGGTAACTCCGGAGCTTCCCAAAAGCGGTCAGCAAGCAGCACCAAAGCAGGTAAATCCGCAGCCGCCGAAGAGCAACGAGCAATCCGCACCAAAGCAGGTAAACCGGCAGCCTCCCAAGAGCGATGAGCAAGCAGCACCAAAGCAGGCAAATCCGCAGCCTTCCAAGAGCGAGGAGCAAGCAGCACCAAAGCAGGTAAACCGGCAGCCTCCCAAGAGCGATGAGCAAGCAGCACCGAAGCAGGCGGATCCGCAGCCACCGAAGAGCGACGAGCAATCCGCACCAGAGCAGGTAAATCCGCAGCCTCCGAAGAGCGATGAGCAAGCAGCACCAATGCAGGTAGATCCGCAGCCTCTGCAGAGCAAGGAGCAAGCAGCACCAATGCAGGTAGATCCGCAGCCTCCGCAAAGAAAGGAGCAAGCAGCACCAGAGGGGGGAAATCCGCAGCCGCCGAAGAGCGACGAGCAAGCAACACCACAGAAGGTAAAGCCGCAGCCTCCCATGAGTGATGAGCAAGCAGCACCAATGCAGGTAGACCCGCAGCCGCCGAAGAGCGATGTGCAGGCAACACCAATCAAGGTAAATCCGCAGCCGCCGAGCGATGAGCAAGCAGCAACACAAGTGGAAGACGTGTGCATGGAAGGCACCGAGCAAGCGACGATTCGGCGCCCAGACCCAGCTCCCGCTTCAGCGCAGAGCACCCCGATAAAGTCCCCCATGTACAAGCGACTGAAGCAGCTGTCACCCCAACACGTGACCCCGAAAAGCAAGATGCTCGCAAGCTCTGTGCAGGCTAGTTACGGCTAGTTTCTCCATTTATCGTATTTTGTTTCTATGGGAGAGGGATCTGGGTGGCTTATGTTTAAGTATATATATATATATATATATATTTATTTATTTATATTTGGATAGTTCAACTTATAATACAACCCAATGCTACTCATATCCCTGGGAGGCAGATCCCAGCCTCAGCAGTGCATCCTCCGCATCCACCCAGCAAGCAGAAGAAGAGTCGACCCACCGCGGATCCTTGGCCCGAACACGTGGGGCTGGGTTGGAATATAATTATATGTAGCAAGGTGATACTATACGAGGCTTCATGATAGCTAGCTTTAAGACAAGTGGTGTCCCAACTCAGGTGCCATGCGGAGCCTCGACAGCATGACCACGATCACCTTTTCGTCACTCCAGAGCCAGGAGTGGCAGGAAACCATGATGGACGTTACTCGACAAAAGCTATAATTCTTTCAAACTGAATGATTATACCCTAGGCCCTAATACCATAAACCCTAAGCGCCCTAAACCCTAAACTCCCCCAAATAAGGCCGAAGCCCTAAAGCCTAAAGCCCAAAAATCTAAACCCTAAGCCCAATCACCTAGAAAAAGTCCCAGAGCGGCACAGCCAAGATCCCGGAAGAGAGCCTTATGGATGTGGAGAAGCCCGAGATGCCCAGTCAGGAACTAGATGTTCTTCTTTCCAAGATGTATGTGGGAGACCCGCCGGGAGATGAGAAGGACTTCGCTTCGGATTGCATAGATATATATATATATATATATACCAGTCATAGTCGACCCCTTGTTCCAGGTTGCTTGTAAACTTGCTTATACGGTTGATGATGTAGGGTGCCAGGGTGTTGGGTGTTTGGGGGTTTCATAATTCGACTTCGGCTCGTGACACCAGGAGACCGCGAGCTGGCCGAAGCCAGCGACAGAGCCGCCTGTGCCGACTGAGGACTCTGCTTGATAATTAGTGAACCCAAGATTCGAAATCTGAAGAACCCTAGACCCTTAAGCCCAAACCTTAAAGGTCCGAAGCCTGAAGCTCAAGCTTTTGGTTTCAGGGTCAGCGAGCACAGCAAACAATTGCCTCGTTATGCTGTCTAGGCGATCTCAATAATTATCAGACCCCAAAAACCAAAAACCCTGAAGCTGTCTAGGCGATCTCAATAATTATCAGACCCCCAAAACCAAAAACCCTGAAGCTCTCGTGCAGGAGGGGCCAACAAACCCGGCGGCGACTGAAGTGGCGACTCAAGTGATCCAGGATCGCTACTCGCACGCTTCATCCATCCAAATCCTAACCCCAATGCAAGCTATTGCAGGAGCCGATGCAGCCAACGGAACCGGTCACTGAAGTGAGCCAGGATCTATTTTTCTTGTTTCGTGACGATTTCTTGAAAAGCCCCCGACCCCAAAACTCGAAGCGTTCGATTTGCAGGATGAGCCACGGCCGATCACCGAGCTGGCGGCTGAAGTGGCGACTGCCGAGGGGACCCAGCAGGATCGCTACTGGTGTTTCATGAAACCACCCTAAACCCAAATCCTAACCCCAAGCTCTCGACATGCAGGATGAGCCGATGGAGCCGACCGAGGCGGCCCGATGCTCAAGGGCTATCTAGAATTTAAGCCCCCCAACCTGAAACCATAACGGCCCTAAGCTCAAATCTCTCGATTGCAGTACCCCAAACACGAAAACCGAAGCCCAGACTCCAAGCCCGAAAGCCTAAGCCCTAAACCCCAGATCCAAACACCTCGGCCTTTTCCCAAACCCGAGAACCTAAGCCCTAAACCCCAAACCCGACAACCTAAGACCTAGGACTAGGGTTCCGGGTTTTGGGTTTAACCCCAAGCCCGACAACCTAAGCCGCAAACCCCAACACCGAAAACCTAAGGCGCCCAAAAAACTCAGCCCTAAACTCCAAACCCGAAAAACCGAAGCCCTAAACCCCAAACCCGAATAAGCCCTAAACCCCAAAACCAAACAAACAGCCCCAAACCCGAAAACCAAAGCCCTAAACCCCAAACCCGAAAACCTAGGCCCTAAACCACAAAACCAGATAAAACAGCCCCAAACCCGAAACTCAGCCCCCGAAAACCAAAGCCCTAAACCCCAAACCCAAAAACCTCAGCCCTAAACCCCAAACCCGAAAACCTAGGCCCTAAACCACAAAACCCAATAAAACAGCCCCTAAACCTGAAAACCTAAGCGCTAGGGTTCAGGGTTCTGGGTTTAGGGTTTAGCCCGAAGCCCGACAACCTAAACCCCAGACACAAAACCTCAGCCCCCGAAAACCAAAGCCCTAAGCCCCAAACCCAAAAACCTAAGCCCAAACCCCAAAGCCCAAAAACACCAGCCCTAAACCCAATGCTGTCAGGAAGCGGCCACGGCTGGATCTGTGGTGCTCGTCAATGATCGGCAGCAAGTGGAGGAGCACATATATACCTGATTGCACTAGTGGTTGTACAATTCACATTAGCCTGATCTGCTGGCAGGAGGCGACACAGCGGGAACCCTTGCCTGTGAACCCCTTCCCGAAAGCGAAAGGGGCTGTGCATGCAGCGATCCAGTCGGGACTAATTCACGACATCTTGGAGGGCCGGAGCACCCTGCCGTACCAGGAGACCCACACATAACTGTACATGTATGTAGATAATTTCTAAATGGTAAACAACCGCTTCGCCAATTTGCACTCATTCGCAGGACTCCATGAATCGCAAGGACAACGAGTCCGAGGATGAAAGGATCTTCAGGGTGGCTCACAACTTGTACGTCAAGATGCAAAGGTCGACGAAAGGCGGCTTGGAATGCACATGTACATGCAAGACCACTATGCAATTAGCGCTGGGCCCAGTTCTCTCTAATTTGAGGCAAGAGCTGCCCGGACAAGGTGGTCGAGGCCGTCGCCAAGGCGAAGAGCGGTGCCTCGGCTTGGGTCTGGCTTCATGGTTTCAGGGTTTTAGGGTTTTAGGGTTCTTAGGGTGGTTTGGGGCTTTAGGGTTTTAGGGTTTAGGGCTTTAGGGGGTGATTATTCCAACATTCTCAAGGCCAGATGAAGCTGGAGGAGATTTTCGTCGACTACTTGAAAAGCGGCGGCTCCTGGCTCGAATCGAGCCTCGTGGTCTCGACTTCCTCAAAGAAAAGCAAGGAGCTGGAGTCCAAGGAGGTCTTCATTCGGTACTGCGACCTGAAGAAGCGGGATGGCGCCGTGACGGCGAAGCTGATCCGCGACGAAAAGCGGGCCCTGCAGGAGGAGCTCGACAAGAAGCCGGTTGTTGCAGGCGAGGAGCCGCTGCCGTTCGTGTTTGCCCATCCCGACTTGCCGGGGTCAGAGGACGGGGCCATTCCCTTAAACCCCAAACCCAAAACCCTAGCTATAAACCCCAAGCCCTTAAAACCTAAGCCCCAAACCCCCAAACCCATTTCATTTGACAGGAGTGGGAACTCATCAGGGTCTTCGATTCGGCGGCGGTGGTGGCCAGGGACAAGAAGACTCAGGAGGCCAATCTCTCCACGGGGCCTATGGAGCTGGATGGGCAGCAGACACGTGTCTTTCTGCGACTTTGCTAATATTAATAGATTGTGGCTTTTTATCGAGAAGAGAATTTTCAAAGCATGCACTTTCCAATCAAAGGCCAGCAGCCCTGGGATTCGGGGTTTCCGCGGGCAGCTCGGCTGCTGGGCCGACCGTGCTGCCGCAACCCAGCGGTTTGCGGAGCTTGGGATCAAAGGAGTCTCTCGAGAAAGAGGCGGAGCAGCTGAAGAAGATGCGAAAGCAAGGCAAAGGAGGCACAGCTGGGCAGGTGAGGACCAAGGTGAAGCAGGTCAACGACAAGATGACCGAGGCGGATGAGTTGATCAAGAAGGTGAACGAGTGTGAGCACGTGCAACTTCGTTCTTTTATTTATCCACCCATTATTTATGCTTTGTAATTATAAGCTACTAACTATAATAAGCTATCGTACCCTAACCCCCGATACCTTTAAAACACAAATCAAAGCATGAAGCCTTATTTCGGTTTCTAGTTGAGACCTGTTATTGCTATTCACTAGAAATATAATATGTATATACCTATGATCCCTACCCGAACCCTAGACCTTCTAATCGTATACGAAATTGCGGCCTAAACCCTAGTTCTTCAAGTTGCTTTATTTTGCCCGGCTCAAACCCCAAAGTCCCGAAGAACTGAATTGCTCTGCTGAAAACAAATCGAATACCCCCGACATCCTAGGTCGCAGCCGCTTTGCAAGGGCTACAAGGACGAGCTGGAGATGCACAAAGCGGTCCTCGGGGAGCACATCGAGAAGCTGCAGGCACACGGATTGAATGGTTGTTCGCGAGTTCGGATTGATGCATAATGCTATCAAGTAGCTACGTTGCTAGGTCCCAGCCGGCTACAGGTGTACAGATCTAGAGGTTGCGAAGTGGCCGTAGTACCCCAATCCTAAAACCTAAATCCCACACCCTATTATTCACTCCAAAATACGAAATCCTGTACCAATGCATAATTTGGCTGAACATCCAGCTGCTAGGCTGACGGCTTCGATGAGGGCACCGCCGAGACGGTGCAGCAGGCTTTCGACGATCTTACCGAGAAGCTCAAGGCCTACGCGGATTCCGCTTCGATGATCAGGAAGAAAGTTGTACCGTGGTTACATCTGGAATCTGCTCGAGTACAAGTATTTTGCGAAGCCCCCTTGACAAGCCATTGCAAGCCGCTATAGCGCTTAGAATCGTCCAACCACTCATATTCAATTTAATGCCCAAACCTAACCCACCCTAAGTCCTCAAGCCCTGAATCGTCCAACCACTCATATTCAATTTGTGCCCAAACCTATAACCCACCCTAAGTCCTCAAGCCCTGGCCTACCTAACCGAAACCCGAAACCCTAAACTCCCCAGCCCTAAACCCTAAAACCACCCCAAACCCGAAACCCGAAACCCTAAACTCCCTTGCCCTAAACCCTAAACCCACCCCAAGCCCGAAACTCGAAACCCTAAACTCCCCAGCCCTAAACCCTTAACCCACCCCAAGCCCGAAACCCGAAACCCTAAACTCCCCAGCCCTAAACCCTAAACCCACCCCAAGCCCGAAATGCATCCGAGGCAGAGCCCAAGCCGAAGACGGCCCCGAAGGCCAAGGGAAAGGCGAAGGCGAAGGGCAAAGCAAAGGCCAAGTCGTGATGTCGATGGGTCCTGCTGGATTTATGAGACGAGGGCCAAGGTACTGGTCTGAGCTGTGGCGGCTTCATGAAAGCCAGCTTGGCTTTTTGCAGATCTAGATCTGTTCGTCGGCGAAGTCTTAAACTCTAGCAGCCTAGAGCCTACACTATTTTAATCCCAGCTAGGGCCTCTAGCCCTGGGTCCCAATACATGTACAGGGCATTTGCTCTGCAAGTACCACGAAACTAGCCGATGGCAGATTCAGGATCATGGTTTTCGCTTGCAAGTGTACAGATCAACTCTCCAGATCGACGTCCGATCGCTGCAAGCACAACACCCGCAGAATTGCATGATGCATCTCGCGTATATTGCAACGGATATAATAATACCGCCTAATTCCGTAGCCCTCGCAGGCGGACCAGATGTTGGCCCTTTATGCAGACACGTTCTGAAATGTGCCGGCCGCGGGGACGCTTGGTCTGCAATTTAAAACCTTGAGCTCGTATACCCTTGCAAATCCAAACCCAAACCTTACCCTGAGAATTCCTAACCCAAACTTTGCTAATTGGCCCAATGCTATAGTACTAGTAGAACTCTAAGCCCAAACTTTATAGTATAGCCCGATACTGAATAGGTTTCGTACCGGCACCAGCAGTGAATCAACCTAGAGCGATAACCCTCCTGCTGAAATTACTCCCAGAGAACTCCAAACCCATACTGAATTCCCTAAGAACTCCAAACCCAAACTAAACCGCAATATTATATGCATATACCACCTCAGCTAGTTATTCTTCTTAATTAAAAGCAAACCGGGACCCCGAACCCCATTGCAAGTAACCGCTCCTCCACTCCCGATAGCATATATGTGGTCGAGGACCTCAGCTTGACCGGCGCGGTGGATATGCTCCGAGCAGGGCACAAGGAGAGCGATCAGGGTTTCGGTTCATGCATGTGGACATATTACATATATGTGTGCACAACTACAGGAAGTAGCCTCTACGGGCGGCAGCTTGGGAAGGCTGGCAGAAAGGCTCCGAAGAGCTGGGTGCGATGGTAAGCACAAACAGAACATCGAGAGGGACCTTCTGCGGACGGTCACCAACAGTTTGGGTTGCGAAACATGGTTGCACTATATATAGTAAATAATTCATTATACCCTCAACCCTAAACCCTAAACCCCTTAAAGTTGTAGATCCGAACAGGTGCCGATATCCTGGGTGCGAGTGCCGATGCTGACTTCGCTCACGGACAACACCGTGGTCTTCAGGTGCTTGCTGGCAATTACTACGTACTAGTACGACTAGCTAGTCTTGCACATGTGTGGCATGGGATCAGGTTTGAGCTCGAGGCCCATTCGCACGTTGAGCTAGCCTAGGAAACTACCGGTCATCCTCCCCCACGAGCTGCTGTGCTATTTAAGTGTTGAGAAGATTCCTGAGGGGGAGGTCGACATCGATGCTGTCAGTACCTACTGGCAGCATTGCAAGCGATACGTATCTTGGGCAGGACAACACCCAGGGGCTGACGGTGGCCCCTGTGTCCCCTTATGGTTGTATGGAGATGACATTCGGCACAGTGTGCGAGAAAAGCTATGTGTCGTGTATATGGGACACGTGCTTTCGAAAGCTACATTCTCGATGAAGAGTCATTATCCGCTCTTCGTGATACGGGAGGCCCCAGCCCTGTAATCCCCTACATCGAAGCCTATATCCTAAACCCCCAAACTCGAAGCCAAAGTGACCTGCCTGCAAGCCTTAAGCTCGAACCCATTTTAATACCTATGCTGATACCCAAAGCCATAAACCAAAAGAGATTGGTTGCAGGCACTGAGCTGTGGCTTTGACACCATCCAAGCCTACCTTCGCCCTGTGGCTTGCCATGAATTATAAAGATCCAATCCAAACCACCCGGCGCTACCCAATTAACGGATCCCCGAATAGAATACCCTACATCCAAGGTAGTTGCTTCGCTGAATGCATGCCTCAGCGGCTTCCACCCGGAGAGGCCGATCCTCGGCCAAAGCGGAGATTGTGAATGGCCGGCGTGTGTGCCGACTACCGACCCTGATCGGCCGCTAGTGCTGAAGCAAGGGCAGCCACTTCGATTTGCAATGACGGAGCTACGGGCGGACTGGAAATTCCACAAGGATAGTGTCATGCGTATTATCTATTACCCTAAATCCTAAAACCCTAAACCCTTAATTTCTTATCCTAGGGATCTCACGCGCTTTGACTGTTCAAACATTAGAATTAATATTGTGCAGGAGATGCTGGGGCTGGCCACGGGGTGGAGCAGCAAATATGTCTGCCACCATTGCATGGCCACGAAAGACGATTTCTTCAAGAGCCCCTCAACATTGCAGTCAGAGCCCCGGCGAAGCATGCAGAACTTCGAACAGCAATGCATCGATCCCCGGAGTTGGTCGGATGAATGTTGCACACACAGTTTTTTACCTATAGGGGTTTAGGGGTTTAGGGGTTTAGGTACTAAGCTTATTTTTTACTTTGCGGCGGGTTGTAGCTATATATATATATATATACTACCCGAGGCCACATGTTGAGGATGAAAGGGTTTGACGTTTGCATGATGCGATGGTGCAGCTTACACTCCTTGAATTTGGGCCCACTGGTCTGGGCCTGTGGAGGCTGCTTGGAATCGCTGCTGCAACAGGCGATAATGGTTCTAGGGTTTGCTAGATAGGGTTGTGCGGCATCTATAGAGTTTAGGGTAAGGGTTTAGGGTTGAGGGGCCGAGGTTATGATATATTGGGGCCTCGGTTTCCAAAACTGTGCCCTGCAGGGTCTTTGGCCTGGAGACTCCAAAAATGCACGGCTGAAAGCTGCCTATGCTGCATTCTGTGCTTGGTGCCATGCAAACAAGATTCCGCACCCTGGAAAGAACCGATGAACCAATCTCCTGGTAAAATCTATTCCTGCTGATAGCCCAGGCATTCGCAACCGCTCTTCCTGGCCAAGCATCTGCGCTCGAAGAATGGATCCGAAGTGGAATTGGCAGCAAAGGCATACAATGTGCCTGAGATGGTATTTTTAAAGTCTAGGGCAGTTACACATAAGATATACATTTATATATATATATATATAACTAAGATGAACCTACCGATTCAGGCCCGTGTTGTGACGAGCTGGTTGGCTGACTTTGTGGTGGAGCTGATACACGAGGAGCCCTACTGCAATGATGATCGTCTTATGCAGCTCGGACAATGCATGCAGCTTGACTGCATGTGTATATGTCGATGGCATTCATTAAAACCTCACGTCCATATCTCTCGAATGAGGCACTTCCTCAGCGAGCTGATGAATGTCATTGAAGCCTCGCCGCGATATTTAGACGACGGGCAAATCGACCGAATGCAGTACTGCCAGAATGCTTCCCTCGCCGCCTACGGCCTCCTCGCTTACGGGTCTGCTCAAGATGCTCTCTCCATGTTCCCCATGAGACCCAAGTTGCATGTACCCTCGACTGCAAATATCATGACCCAAAAAATAGCTATATAGGACCAGTGCAGCTCCGAGGCAGTGCAAGAACTCGTCTACTTTGCCAGCACAGAACGAAGCCGGGCATTCGACATGTTCGACATTACTCTTTTGGGTATATGGGCTTTTGGGGCCTATGGTTTATAGGGTTTAGGGGTTTAGGGTTTCGGGTTTAGGGCTATTATGGGATTAAAGTGGTCTTGCACATCCGAGGAATCAATTTCCGAATGTACCATACATTTGCATCCGAAGATGCAAACGGCCGATTGGTTCGTGTCTTCGCTAATTATCTGGATTTGTATGTATTATTTATAGGGTTTAGGGTATAGGCTTTTGGGTTTAGGGTTTGGGGTTTAAGGTTTAGGGGTTTAGGGTTTTAGGGTTCTAGGGTTTAGGGAATTAATAATATACATGCATGGTGAGCAGCTGCAGCTGAGGCATAGCTGCTCGTGCACATGCAAGAAGCCTGGAAACCTCGACATTGCGGCGCTTTTATATGTGGCGGCTGGCTTGCATTAATACGACATCCTACAAGCCCTCACTCATACAAATGGAATGAGCAACGCTCGCCAGCAGTAGCACCCCTATGCTATATATATATATATATGCTAGCCCTAGCCCCAAGCCACATCCCACACAGTGGACAAAATGGAGTTGCCTGAGGTTTGTTATAATTAGGAGCTCAGGGTTAAGGCTGTAAGTTTTATATAGGGTTTATTATTCAAGTGCCGAAATATAGGACTCCGGACTTCAAGGTTGCGGATTTCCTTACGGTTTGGGACTTGCGGACTTTATCGTTTTGGGCTCATATAGGATAGCTAGAGGGTTCCATCTTCGGGTAATTAATAGCTAAGGCTGATTGCCGATGTCGGTGATGAGGATATCGATGCGGAGCTTTAAATGCCGTTGGCTAGCAACGGACCAGCACTGCAAGTCGTGTGCCCGGTGAAAAAACCAACCGCTGATCCACTTATAAGCCCTAAATCCCTATAGCCCTAATAAGCCCATGGTCTCAGAGTACGGCTTGAAACGGCCAATTCCCGCAATCTTAGGGGTTTAGGGGTTTAGGGGTTTAGGGCTTTGGCCATGGGTTAATTAGCCCCCATCGGGAGCCTTGCCCACACCTCAAACTAACAAGCCACTTCGAACCTATTATAGATTTTGTAGGGCTTTAGGGTTAGGGCAGTGCATGTCCATCCTTTACGTCACTGACAGGATCCTATGAAACTTGCGAAATTCATACTTCCACCGTGATCTAGATCTTAACCAATCCCGTACTTTACCCTAAAATCCTAAACCCGAAAAGCTTTAAACCCTTAAACCCTAAGCCCTAGAATCCCTAAAGGCCCTAGAATCCCTAAAGGCTTTAAACCCTAAAACCCTAGGCCCTAAAATCCCTAAACCCTAAAACTCTAGGCCTATACCCGAACAGCCTTAACCCTAAAAACCTGAGCCCTAAAATCCCTAACCCCTAAAAATCCCTAAGCCCTAAAACCCTAAACCCTAACAGCCTGAACCCTAAAAGCCTGAGCCCTAAAATCCCTAACCCCTAAAAATCCCTAAGCCTTAAAGCCCCAAACCCTAAAACCCTAAACCCTAACAGCTTAACCCTGAAAGCCTGAGCCCAAAAATCCCAAACCCCTAAAAATCACTAAGCCCCAAAACCCTAAACCCTAAGAGGACCCAGAGCTGAACCTTCAAGGTTCGGGGCTTTGCGAGTTGTGGGGATTCTTTAATCCGAAGCACCCGAACCGACAGCCCCAAGCCTCGATTCCTAATCTTCGCCATCCCACAATCGGGAGCCAATTCGGACCAACTTATAACAGCATATGCTTAATACCTCGATCTCATACGTACTATATGTAGGCAATATATGTTTTTTTTTATTCGGCATTGTTGGTACGCTGACACTTTGTGTTTTGACTTTCAGCGTGTTGGTCGAACAAGCAATTTGGCAGCTCTTTGAAACATAGTTGCAATGCAAAAAATAGCCAAAATAGTTTGTCCAAATCCATACTTTGTCGCCCTGAACCCACTTGGTCCCCACGCCCACTCCGGTCTCCATTTATATAAACTTCCTATATCTGGATTTCAAGTGCTGTCTCTGCGCACACCTGGGAGCCTTTGGGAGTGGAGCCTGGACGCCACAGCCCACGTCGACCAGAGGTGCCTGGAGTTGGTGTTGGAGCGCATGGAGCAGAGCTGGCCGGAGGGCGAGGAACACTACGCCAAATTGGCCATAAACAGCCTCGTGGGACTGTTTGCTCGGAATCTAGAATTAATTTACTCCATGAAGACTTCAAATCATCAAGTGGAC